TTTTAAATATTATCGAATTAATTATAATATCATTTTGAAGCTAACGAATATAGTATAGTCAATATCGAATTGGATAACTTAAGGCTTGTTCGCATTAGTCGAATGACGTCAATTAGGAGCTTATTATACGTGATACTTGTCATAATGAATATCGCAAAATGGTAAATAAAATACCCTAATCTTCCAGCTTTGATCATTTTCAAATAAAATTTAAATAGCGTGAATTTACTGCAATGCTCAGCTAATCTCAATTTATCTGTTCAATCAATATATGTAGCTTAATTGGTTCCGTTAATGTACAGTTACGTTTAAAGGAGCATCATTTTATACTTTCACTTCTCTTCTGGCATTATATAAACTTCATACGAACCTAACCTCAATTGTAAAAATTCTTCCAATTATTTGCAAAAACTCTACAAGGTTTAATAAATTTGCATATATACTGTGATTTAATCTAATTTTCTTAGATACTCATTTTATGCGCAAGTTAATCATAATGAAAACGGTAAGTTGCAATGATCACCTGCTGATGAATTACATGAATGCAAAATGGTCTTAATAATGGAAATTAATTTTAAAGGCAGAGGGCTAAAAACTTGTTACAAAAATTCATAATGAAATTTTAGAAAAATTAAAAAGAGTTTTATATCAGCATTTTATTAAGAAATACATATTTACATATTGGTCCAAGGTATTCGTGGTAACTGCGCGGTAAAATTCGCGAGAACGTCATTATCGACGTTTGGTAAACGTCACTGGGCGGCGCTAAATAACGAATTGCCTTCGGGTTCATTGGTCTCGCGGTATACACACTGGAATGATATTCGAAGAAATTAGGTCGCTTGCAGTAACGGGAACGGCATTTATTTTCAAGTCGATGCAATTGCGTCTGGCTACGTTTAGTTGTGTAAATGCAAATACACCTGAACCCTTCTTTTTTCTCCCCCCTGAATTTTCTTTTTTCATCAAACGCGAAATTGCATTCCGTTGCGTAAACATCTCGTCCTGCCTGCAATTACGTTTTACGTGTATCGTGCCAATCACGTGGTAATCTCGTGAATAAATAAACGCTTTGTTCTGCGCTCGTTTTCCTTCGAAGACTATTAGCGGAGTTTTCGTTTAACTTTTGATCAGGAATTGTGTAAGTTTCGAATAAATTTCGCCGTTCCGCAAGCTTCCTAGTTTCGGTTTGCTCTGTTTTATCGACCGGGTTCCTTTGGAGGTTATTTACGCGTTAAATTTCACCAAGGGGTAAAAGTGCTGAGAGTGGCAGTGATATAATGCGTGGATGTGACGATTATAATCGAAAATGAAAGTAATTGAAAATAATAGTTTTTTTGTATTTTTATTCATATCAATTTCTACTTTCGTTTCCTTATTAATAACATTAATCTCACGAATCCTTTAATAAATTGAGCCTCGTTTGAACAATAAATTCTACTCGTGCCTACATCATAAATCATCCTTTTCTAACGCCATAAAAGCTTCAAGGTGAGAGTATCTCTATCGTTATATACATTTACGACTTTTACGACACTTTTACTCTTTTCTAACTCCTATAGTATCTCCCATTTGCCTGGACTGTTAGTACCATCTTCGATACCCATTACAGACAAGATATAAACGTCTTAGCAGGTTCTAAAAACATACAGTACTTAATTTTATATTAAAATAACAGAAGAAATATAGTGATAGGATAATAAAGTTCCTGAACAAATAAATCACGTTAATGATAAAATATTTGTATAATAAATTTTCTAATAATAATAACTCTACTATATATCTCCATAATAATATTATACAAACTTTTATCACATCATCCTCAAAAATTGAAGAAAAAAGAAAAAATAATAAAATTGATAGAAAAGAATGAAAATATAATACTTCAATAAAAATAAAGCAATATCAGCACAATTTCGTAGCACTCTCATAATATATTACTAAAACAATATTATATAATATCTCACCCAATATATTCAACATATTAACTATAGTATATTATAATTAATATAACATGATGTTCAAACAATAAGAAATTTAATGTAATAAATATTCTAACTCTACTGTACATGTTTCTATTTATGAATCTCCATCGTACCATTCTCAAAAATCAAGTAACCAAGAAAAACCTAACCTAAAAAAAAAAATTTTGTTAAATAAAAATAAAACGATAAAAAAAATATACTAACAATACAACAAAGCCATTGTGGCGCTCTTTTAAAGGTAGCATCGACCGTGTGTGCAATCGAAAGTTAAGAATGTGCAAACAATTCGAGTGACTCAGTGCTCGTATTCATCCCGCGAATTCAATAAGAAAGCTTACTATTGCAAACACCGATGACGTCAAAGAAAAATATTTATCAGCTCTTTCGAACGCAGCGTTCTTCGTTATTGAGCTGATTGGATACGTATTATGAAATAAAACACGTTGCTACGGGGCCTATCGAACGAGTTGGGAATCGCACGATAACGTTCATGGTTCCTACGTTAATTTCCCGTTACGGAGAAACACAAATTTTATCGCGGAAGTTCGTAATCGATATTACGATATCATGAAATTAATTACATTTAATACGACGATCGTTTACACCGAGTTGTTTTTTCAGAAATTAGTGCAACGCTTTAATTTATGCATGTCGTGTCAATAGTGTGATTGAACGTACTCTTTTGAATATCATTTTAGTGACGTATTTGGAGTTTTTTCATAGTGAAATCTGAATATCACTAGGTTATCACTAGGCTATCACGTGCAAATCACACGCTTCACATATTTATGTAAATTGTCATACACGAAAATTCACACATTTTTCAAATGGTTTACGAATGAGATCTAACTTCAAAAATACCGAGTTGAATAATAAGATAATTTTTAATTTATCTCTTACAACGTGACCGTAGCATTGTACTGTATAGGATAGAGTAAACAATCGATTCATAAATGAGAAAATTATCGAGCAAAAAATTGTATAGATTTTTTGCAAGAATTTCCGAATGAAGTTTACTGATTTAAATAGTCTAATTTTTTTGAATAAATATTGTATAATATAATTTTAATATTTTATTTTCTATGGTTTCTGAGAGTAACTCGGTAATTTAAGTGTTTGAAGAATATCATTCATCTTATCACGTGATAGAAATCGCAGAATTTCCAAGGTGTAACTCCTAATTGAATTACACGTTCAATCAAGAGTGAACCACCGGTGGTGGGTCATCTGACAATTGCGCGTAACTAGAAGTGACTCACTTGTGAATACGCACTAAACATCTTCGAGTTTGTTGTACAAACAACAGAATTCTCGGTAAGATAACAAAAGGAAAACATAATCATAAAAGGATATTCTTTGGTAAAATAAACGCGATATTTATTCCATTTCGTAACTTATAAAACTTACAAATCCCTGTTTATACTTCCTAAAACGTTGTATTTTAATTTGGAGAAAATTTATTAAAGAAGATATTAAAACTCAAAATTCGGAAATCGAGGATCCAAAAGATAAAGAGTAACATAGATTCGTCAGTTGCATCCGTTATTTCTATACTTTCGCCTTTAAAATTTCGTTATACTCGTGTGATGTAGAGGTTATGTTTTAGGCGCGAAATTTGAAACGCGGTAACCGCTGATCTAACAAGCAGTTTGCGAGACCTCTAAATTGCGGATACGAAGATGAAAATGCTAAATTACATTCTGGAATGTGTTATATTATTAGAGAAGGAATTATTCTTCAGGTTTTTATCGTACATGAAATGTCAACACTTGTTGAAATTGAAAAATAGACGCGCGAGATATCTTTGGCGAGACGTTATACGATCCATGACGTTACAAGATACGTTATCCGTCGGTGTGAAGAGATTAAGTAAAAGTGCTTCGTTTTTGTTTCAATGACATCGATCATGACAAGTGTACCAATTTTTTTACCTTTATTTATTTCTCTAAGAATACATCAAGGTTTATGCGTAGCTGTTTGATAATGAAATTCGCTACTGCCAATGTGTCAATGATAAAATCCTTGACATTCCCCCACGACCTTGTGTCGACACTGGAATCTCGTTTTATAATTATTACCGTTATGACGTACCTCCTATATTGATTTTTTTTTTTACCATGTTAAACGATTTTCAACATGGAACAGTCTGATGCAGCAAAATAAAGGAGTACAGCATTAATGATCGATTTTATGAGTTTAAAATATTCCACACTTATGTGTACATAAAAGAATATATCGAATTATTTTTACAGTATTTTATTTGTTCATTCTATATTATTACGTCTTATACATTTCTCTTTTCTTCTACTATTATTATTTTCATATTCGCATAGTCACTTGTTAACGAAAGCTATTATTGATGTATGAATTAAGCAAGGCGATTATTCATTTTCATGATTTAATTATTCCTACATCACTCCACGTTATTATTTATTCAAAATTAAAGACCTGTTCAAAGCGATTTTTAATTCTTATCTAATTCATTCACTCTTAAGCAATCTTTTACAATATGGCGCTTTTAACAAATGATACAAATAAAATATAGAATTGCCAAGCACAATGGGTACTCCGCTTTTGCAAATGTCTGGCTTATTCTATGTCGTTTACGTGTCACCCATGTTCCATTCATAAATAAATTGTCCTCATAGAAAGAAAGCGTGTCCGTAGAACATTGCACAATCTGTTACGCCGTGGAAACTAGGATTGGTCAAAATAAAGGATTCAGAGCGTGTGCAGCGATCGTTCGGCTTTCTTTTCTCGCGGGGAAAGTAAAAGTGCTCGTTCGGTGCCAAGGTGAGAGATCCACGGTGAAACTTATCGCGGATGTCCTTCGTAGTTCGCGTGTGCCACATACGTTGCGTTCGTTCGCCGACTTGGAGACCTTTCCTTGGCTACTAGGGGATTTCCAGCAAATATAACCTTCCTTATCTGAATTCTCTCTCCGGGGATTCCTCTTTCTTGCGTCCTCGATTCTCTATCCATAGTAATTAATGAGACCTTTCTTCTCTGTTGCAGTTGTAACTCATCAAAACAACAACATGTCTGTGACCACATCTGTACAACCAGCTACTGAGAGTCTTTCTCGTCATGGGTAAGTTGATTTCCATTTTTCTCCACCATGTTTGGTAATAAAGATGATTGCACGAAGAATAAAAGATAGAAGATTTGATAGAACAGCCTTATGTACTTGGAGGCCTATGGTGTATAGATAGGATAATCAGGAATCAGCTGAGAAAAGAAAAAACAGGATGTAGAGCTTCTATAGTCCCCTTTGGAGATACTTAACTAGAGCAATAGCTTAAATAAATTACTTTTATGTGATGAAAATGCATAATACCTTTAAAAAGATAAAAGTAAGATGATTGTCCATTGTAGTTAATTCCAATTTTGGAGACAGCTTTCTTTCCACATATTTTCCTTTGAGTTATTTTCTTCCAAATTTTCTGATAAAGACAGGAATTTAAGCACTGAAAAAAAAACAGGGCTATTAAAATTTTAGGAGTCAATAATTTGTTTCTAGTGAGTCACAAAGTATCAATAAATACATGATGTGGAGCACACCTTTTACATCATAAGCCTCCATTTTAAGTACGAATCTCGTATCCCGTGGAAACCGATATGTCTTCGAAACTCGTGGCCTCGTTTATTCAATCGATCCACTTTTACCCTTGCCAATTTGTTACCGGGACCCATAGCGAGACGACTAATAAATGGTGCTTGAAACTCGCACCGAATGATACATGTGTATATATTACGTCTACTTCAAACTTACACGCGTTATTATTTTCGTAGCTCTAGTTTCGAAAGTGCGTTTTATTTTGTGGTAAAATGGCAATAGAATATTTCAAATCATTTTAATATTCTTATTTACAGAGACTTTACAAGACAAACAAATATAAGTCACTATTTTGACTAATTCGGTACGTCTAGTGTTAACTAACATAACCTATATATACCGTCTATACGAAATATATACCAAAACGATAATTTATATAAGATAGAGATAAAAATACCAATATCCGTCAAAGAACAAGTTTCAAGAATATTTCGAACTCGTGGAAAGAACAATAGGAACAGTAGAATCAATTCACTTCGATATTCAGCAGCTATTTCCGACACAGTATAACCTCGATAATTCTACCTTGACAATTCTAACCTCGGTAAATTTCACATTTTCGATACTGATAAATAAAATAACGATAGTATCAATGAGATAGGAAAAAAATTATTGTAAACCAAGTCCTTTTTCATGACCAATAAGTCGAACAATAAAATATATATATAATTAAACAAATAACACGTGTACACTTAACATACTCACACGTATCACTATTCTCGAAACGATAGAAGCAGAAAGACAGAATCGTGTAGCTCAATTTGCGGAATTATTATTAGTCATGCGATTATTCGTAGAAATCGCGTCGTTTTTGCATAATACAAGCACGTGGCGGCAACGTCTGCGGCCATTACGCCATTCTGCGGAGAAACTGCGAAGGACGAATCGAACAGAGGGAGCTGTCGGGCATCTGGTAATAGACACCAGATTCGAACCTATACCATTGTTCTGTCACGTTTTATTTAGAGCCTCGGTTCACAAAGGCTTGCATAGTTTCGTGCAAAACCGTCGGTAAGGTTTGTTTCTAGGATATGTAGAAGTACAATAGGTCTTTCGCTATTTATACGAATTGGCAGTTGGGGGAAAGAAATAAAGAGTAAGAATGGAAAATTCAGGTTTATAAATAATATCTCGCATTCAGAAAAGGAAAAGATCAAGATTAGTTTCCAAACAGGAAAAATTCTTTTGAAGGAAACAGAATTCCGGATTTACATATATCCTTCTTAGAATCATTGTTACGTTTTTTACCTTTGCATTTCTATGAATGAGCAAATATCGGTAACTATTTGAGGTTATTCCCAGGTTTTCAATACACCTAACATTTTGAATAATTAAAATATTTCCATCTTTAGCTTATTACTAACAAAACAAGTTTACTACTTTATTTTTATTACGTATCTAGTATAACTGTGATTGTTCCTTTTAAGAATGTATTTTAATTTTAAAAACGTTATTTTACTTTTTGGTAATGTAAATAAAAGAGAGTAATATGTTCAGATATATGATTGTAGCGTTTAAAAATGAGAATGTCGTTTTTATAAAACAAAGAAGTTTTTAGATCTGACGGTACGTTTTTTAATTAACCAATGAAAAGGTTTTTGGACTTATTTCCTTCTCTGAAGTACCGATTCAAATGCAGACTGTTGGAATTGCGAAAGAACTCCAGAGTTATTGACGGATTATTCGAGTGTACCGAGTGTACCGAGTGTGCAGGGAGAGAAACCTCGACCGAGATTCGAACCCGGATCTCTTTTGCTCGCGGGGCGACCACTCTTTAAAGCAACAATTAAATTATTTGGGTCGTCACTGAATTCTTTGCTTTTTAGGCCTCGCGTTGGAAATATGAATACTTGGGTGTAATTGCGCTGTGATTGAGGAATGGCTGGCGAGCAAGATACAGATAGTAAATTACTTTTTATAAATTCTTCAGTCCATATTATAATTGTTGGTTGTAAGGAAGAATCCATTGCTTTTAGTTCTACAAATTTTGTCTATAATAAAACATACCCAAGTGAAATATAGCACTTTTACATCTTGTTGGTAGGAAACACGTTCTTTGACATTTTATCATACTAATTTATAATATTTTAATTTTTTATAATCCTTATATTTACTGAAGTGACCTCATTCTTTTGATAAGAATATTTAATATTTTAAAAATTGTTAGAAGTCTACATTATATTAGAGTATCCTTTCTTCAATGCTCTGCCTTTTTCTTCTGGATGGTAGTCCTGGCTGTTTTACGGTTACCTATTTCTTGTTAAACTGTTGAGTGTCGGTTGGCCGTCGTAAATTTCCTTAAAGGGTAACCATAACTTCTCGACCTGGAACATTTTCTTCACCAATTTCAAAGAATCAAGTTAACGCGCTATATTTTCAAATTGAGGACAGTTTATGTCACCGTAATATTTTAAAAAGAGAAACAATTGCTGCAGTATTGCATCTTGGTTCCCTTGCAAAATTTTAATTAATCTTTTTTATATTTATTCAAATGGTGAAAATAATTATATCAAAATGAAAATCGACACAATAATTAATACATTACTATATATTTTTTACTGTCTAAAAGTTATTGCATTTTATAATAAATTCTACTGTCAACAATTTCTAAACAATTAAATACAAATTATTTTGAACTAGTAAAATGAAAGAACATAATTAGTGAGCGTGATTTTAATAATACACTAATATCCCATTTCCAGAGTACTTCATCAAAAGAAAAAAGGAAGAAATTTAGTACTTCATTATAACGTAAGATCCCAAATGACTCAATCAGAATCCTGATTAATTAAACACTCGCAACGTAGCTTGCTTAACGTTAATTAATTCTTATCAGATAGTTACGTCATCCAATTACAACATAAATTGCTGGTATTTAACAAGAAACGCTACAAGAACAGCATCACAGCCGTGCGCCAATATATTAACATGTCCAAAGAGCATTACGAAAGAAAATAAAGAATATTTGCAAGAGAAAAAGAAATTCTTTCCACGCATAAATTCACCAATTGGAAAATTCGTAAAACGATATATTCCGTTACGAATTCCTTAGAAATTTAATTTCAGTTACGTTCGAGTTACCACTTCAACCTGTGGCATTAACCCTGTAGCTTAACATGGCGCATTGTTCCGTTCAGAAGTTCACAGGAGTCGTATTCACACGACGATGTACCGTGAAGAATTTCACAGCGCGTCGTTTAGCTTCATCGTGGTTAATTAATACTTAACGCAAGCCGGAAATTCTCGAAATTGCCGTGTAAGAGAGAAAGGGGCACCGTTCCATCCTTCAGGCTGCGCAGTAACGTAGTTTCCCGTTTAATGGCGCGCAGAACTGCGTAGGTTAGTTCCACGTGCGCGGTGTGCAAAGGGCAGCCATGCTAGAAACAAATCACTTTGCCTGCGTAACTTGGCCACCTTGAATATCGCAGTCTTAAAAGAAACGTGGGGAATTCACATCGTTGATTAATACATTGATCTGGTTATTGCGGCGATGTAAAAAAGAAAAGGAAGGAAAAGAACTTACCGAGTGTAAAAATGATGAGAGAATGATTCGTGCATGCGTGTGCGTGTGTGTACGTATTTCTCACAGATGCATCGAGGAAGATCAATTTTCTAGAAGCTAGAAATTTGTATATAGATATGAAATTTAGATAGCGGGAACATCGTGATTGAAATCTTTCAGATTTTGTTAAATACAATGAAAGTATTCTAGATTTATCGCGATACGGAACTATATACTCTGTATTCAATTACACATCTTAATAGCTCTGTACCGTGTTCTTTAATGATATGAAAAGATACTTGATTTTTTAAATTGAGCGTTCGGAGTACTTTCTTTGATTAAAATTGGAAATCGCCTTGAATATTTTAAAATAAAATTGTGCAATATTAGTCAGATTGTTATATTCTTACTAAATTTTTAATTATTTAATTCTCTTTCTATCGAGGAATAGAAAATTAGACATGAGTGTATTCAATGTAACTTCTCTGATCTTCGAAAAATAAATATTAAGATATTTCAAATATTTTTTACTTATTTGATATTGGAATAATAATATTCCGACTGACTTAATTAATTTCTATTATTAATAAACGTAAACTTAAAATATAGTAACATTAAAAATATAAATATGTTTTATCAGTTAGTCTTAAAAATAAGCTGAGTTAATCTTACATTCGTATCAATTAATCTTATTGATCATATTGGTTCATTATGTCGTAAAATTTCTATCTACTCTCTTAGATTGCTCGTTTAAACCGTCGCGGAACACGTGGAAAATTAAATGTTTCGGGCTGATTTTATTTTAATAACGCAATTAAAATTTTATCAGATTTACATCATTATATCTTTTATTAAATAGTAACATTTAGACCATCTTCAGTGTTAATTAAATTCGTTTATCTTTAATCAGATGTAATTTTTTATAAGTGGTTCTTATACAATTGTCATATGACAATTCAAATCAGAAACATAACCTACATTCAAACGAACCATCTGGACATTCTAAAACTGATCATATATAAAATACAAACAACAGTTTTCTGGATTATTCCAGTGTTTGTTTCATTCTTCTTTCCCGGGATTTCTCGAAACATTCTCGGACGTTAAAACACACACGAGTTCACGGTAAAAACGACAGCCGAGCCTGGTTTACTGATTCCGTGCTTTGCGCGTCATTCTTTCGCGCATGCGCACAAACTCGCTTGAACTGCTTATTACGCGTTGTCCACGTTACCATCACGTGAAAGGAACGTTTTTCTTCCTGATTTCCATACCTGCATATTTTAACATACGTATACGTGTTCGTACTCGGTAGATCCTTCCTGTTTGTATCGGTAGATCCTGCTGTTTCTCATTTTCTCGAATATTCGGGGAAACAGTCAGATGAAAAATTAATTCCCGATCACGCTTTAGATGAGAAATTGATAGTCAATAAGTGAGTGGAAGAATCCTGTTCAGCTGGTATGTTTGATTGCTGACGACCGATATATGAATCGGCGAAATCTTATCTGCTAGGTTTTCTTCTTTGTAATTAAATACTTCAGATGAGAAATGTTAAGGAAATTTTGTGATTCAAAAAAATTTCACGAAATTTCATTATGACCAATTAAAATTTTGTTAAAACAAAGAAAATTCAGGAGATTTATTTTTTATGCAAAATACATTTTCATTTCATAATTAATAATTTATGATTCTTCAGTTACGATGATTGACGTAAATCGGTACATATATTTACATAAATAAACGAGATACAAAAAATCTTACAATTAACATCTTAGAAAGTAAATCAGTTGAAATATATACGAAATGGTTAACTAGTGCTTAATAAAATAATTATTATCGTACGAAATTTGTATTCCGTTTAATATTTCGTTTTATTTTGTACTTATTTATATTCATAACGTGTTTGGTAATATCTTTACAATATCCTGTAACACAAATCTATTGGCTCATAGTATTTCTTTATGATTTTAATAGTAATTATTATTAATTATTTAACTAGATTAATCGTAAAGAATTGATTAATATTAATTAATGTTATTATTAAACATTTATTATTATAAGGTATACTGAATTAATCGGTAACTAGCAATAAAAATTGGTACTTTTTCCTTAGCAATTATCAAATATTTTAAATAACTGACAGTTTTAAAACACGGGATAAAGGTAAAAATTTTATCTTTCGAATGGGACTTGCGTAAACAGGTGTACCGATTATCGGTTGACGTGAGCAATTGTCCTCGCAAAAATTATAACGGTCGGTAAAAACGCGCGAAAAGGAATAACCTTCGCCTGACATCTTCCGGGTTTAACGTACGGTTACTTTCAAGGTCCACCTTTCAGTCCAGTCGTATCGTTCTCGACAACTTGCGCCATCTTAAAAAACTTTTATTTATGACGCTTGGCAATTCATTGGTCGATGTTTTTCGATAAGGTTCTTTGCGATCGATCGCCAAATATCACAGATGTCATAATTCTAGCTCTTGGAATTTTACTGAACCAACATTATCTACCCTTGACTTAGGTAGTCTTCACTTACGTATCACATATTTTCTAACACGAAGAATGTAATAGTATTGTAACTACTTCTTCGTTTAGTGTTTTTACATTGTGCAAAACTTCGAAATTCATAATTCGTGCTCGTTTCTAGTAATAGTAATGATTTTTGTTAGATAATAATCATTTCAATTTTTCTATGAAACTTTTTCCTATCTTATATAAAGCCATTTATTCGCATTAACATAGAATGACGTTCCCAGTTACGTTTCTTGGAATATTGAAAAGAACGATAATGTAATAGTTTAAGGAACAAATATTACATGATTTTGAATAACTAATTCACTTTGTGTAAATTGTAAAATGCAAAGGAAGATAATAAAGTTGTAAAGAAAGCAATTAAATGTTTGAATATTATGCAATTAATATTAATTGATAGTATTAAATACTAAATATTGTGTTGAGTTATAATCATCTTTTTTAATTGAATAATAATCATAAAATTCACACAGTGCAGAGTAATTTCGTATTATAACATCGTTCTACAGCTTGAACATTTCTGGCTAATTTCTTTTGTGTTACATCTACCATCTGTGAATTTCTGTAAATTTTATGACGCGGCGTATAATGTAATTTGACAAGCTTGTTAACAAACTCCATTAACATCGACCAATTTTTATGCTTAATTAAAAATTTTCAAGTCTATTTCAGTACACAATTTCGCTTAAGTATCCATAAACATTATAAATATAATTATAAAATAACTTGTGAATTTCTGTTGACAGAAATTACAAATTTTTTATTCCTTTATAATTAATTCATTTAAGTAATAAAAATAAGTTAATGTTTATATTTACTAATAAAAAATATTACACAAATTTTTGTGTAATGTGTCATATTAAAGAATATCCTGTTTTATTTTTCCAGGAGCAACATTTCTTTGTCCTGCCACAGTTCATGCGGGAGTGTTGACGATGGCCTCCAAGGATCTCATCCTCAGTACCAGGACACGATCCTTACCATTGAGGAACTTCGTGCTCAACTGAACTCTTGTTTCACGTAAGTCTTGCAGCTCGGTTTATTTCCCAAATCATAAATTTGTTCTGCAGAGTTGCGTTCGAAGATTAATCTCGCTATAATTAAAATTAAATTTGTAATTCTCTACTGCTTTTAATTCTAATGTAAATATGAATTATTTACCTTATGATTAATAGCTTCATTTATAGATAATTACATGTGGTATAAAAAGTATAGTCAAGTCGCATACAGTTTATATTTTAAAGTAATTAAATTCAGTACATCACAATCAGACCTACAAAAAGTTAATAAAATAGAAATTATCGTTATAATTAAAATACAATCAGAATCGGAATATAGATTGCGTCAAATGTACTCACATGCTGATAGTAGTAAAAATAACCTATAAAATTCGGTAGTCCCTTGACTGCCTTATTCTATGGGCAACATTACGCTATGCATTTTCTGGCGAGAAGTGGATACATACCGTAGTTGACTCAAGAATAGAAGCTATCAAAAACAATTAACCCGACTTCCCTACATCACTTTTAATATAGGCCAGTAATTACGCTCTCTCCTTGGGCTATTGACTTCTAATCATCTCATGATCATCCTGTATGCACGATTTCTGTCGTCCCACTTATCGACCAAGTGGGGGGTTAGGAACGCAATATATATATCACATGTAGGCGCGCGCAGTGATCGTGACTAGTAGGGATCCTGAGAACGGTCTGAGACTGGCTAAGCAAAGTTGAACTTTCGAGCCGTTGCGACGTCGAGCTGACAATAGATCGACAATAGAATCCGACATGATCCGGAGTTGTGGTGATTAAATTTGTTTTAGACGTTCCGCCGCGTATTAGACGCATCAAATGCCACGGAGAAATCCGGTTTAAACCCCATAATTCTTGGACTGCATTGTTCCAATCGAATCTGATTGTTACGTCACTGGTGCTGTAGCATGAGTAATTCAAAATGGCAGATTTGGTTAAAATTAATCGCCATGCGATCTATGAGGCCATTTTCAATTACATTGTAGCTTTTTAAATAATTTTATGTTTAGGGATATGACATTTTAACCGGTTAATATGATATAAAGGATTGACTAATACATAATTGTCATAATACCCATACATTACTTTTGGAGGTCCCCAAATTTAAAAAATGAGATTGACAGAAATTCAAAATTATTCAATATGATAATATAAAAAAGAAAAGAAATACAAACTTTAATGTAAAAAGAAATTAAAATTGATATCTATTGAATTTATTAAACCAATAAATATCGGCTCGATGATATTGTAATATTCTACGCCGTAAAAAAAATGCAGGATAGTATACAAGTCCATACAATTTTAGAAAAATGTAACGCAGTTAGAAGCTCTCATACAGCAGTGCACTGGCTGGGGATGAACTTAGGACATTTTCATAACCTATCGGGTTTACAATTACTTCCAGTGCATGATTTTATAATTATAGGGACATGGTACTAAGGGACTGTATTGTGCAATCAAGTTACCTTATTAATTATCACAAAAGTAACTTAATACAAAGTAAAATCTATTATTGATAATAAATGAATAAAAAGCATTCGGATTATTTCATCATTTTGTCTTAGTATATATTTGTAATCTATATTATATAAATTCGGCATTAAGCATGAAAAATATTTTATTAAAAAATAGGAGTAAAAAGAAAAAAAATACATCATACATATATTTTCTTTATTTTTATTAAATAATTAATATTTTATAATATCACTGTACTGCTCTATAATGTCATTATATTGTACTTTCTATTATTATAAATACTAAAAAATAATATCTTTTATGTCTACAGTTATAAGTATTAGTCCACGTAATTCGAAAATGTTGTCAGCCTTTCTTAACCAACTGGATTTTGTTTGCAGATGTGGGGTTTCGTGGAGCGAAGATCACGTCTCTCTCGACTGCAGTGAATGCGGTGGCTATTCCCTCCAACGACCGTGCCCACTTTGTGACGGACGTTGCCGCACCTCGTGGAAACGCGACCTTACTATGGTAAATATCTATTTTTGCCCTTAATCATGGTGCGTACTTTGTAAACACTGTAAAAATTTCCACGGTTAGTTATCTTCAGTAATCTTTTTTTTTTTTAATGAAATTATAATCATTCATTACAATGAAAATAAAAAATACAGAACCTGTTCCAGTTGTACAGTACCCGAATTAAAATAAAAAAAGAAGAAAAATAAAATCATTTTTAATGTCTAAATCAGGTGCTCGATGTTAATCGTAAGACGAACAGTTGCACTTATCGATTATGTGAGTGACATTTACAATAGCTACGCGTTACCGCGAAGGTCATATTAACGGCCGCCTTGTTCATGATAAGCCCTAACAAACTTGGTCGTGCGAGGCAGTTGATGAGAGCGAGGTTAATGTCAGCTTATATTAATAAGGTTTTTATAGTTCACTTTCTTAAAATCGTCAATCGAAGATGGAAAAATTACGTGTAAAAATATAACGAAGTTCTACAAGCAGTATAAAAAATAAGTCTATAACTTTAAGGATATAAATATTGCAAAATCTAATCTTATCGAAAAGAGTGCAAATTCTATAAATTATATAACAATTTCTGAGCAATTAGGGACAGAGAAACAATAATGGACATCATCACACTAAAAATAGTACAATTGTTTGATATAAAAAAATGTAACATGTGTACCATAATTTGAAAAAAAAATGTTATTACTGTTATATGTATGCAGTGTTAGCAAAGAAATATTAGTCATATTTTAAAGAGTTGTAAAACATTCATATATTGTATTCATTGTCATAATATAATAATAAAACAAAAATTAAATTATCCCACTTTTTGTCTTTTATAGTCCCACGCCAGTGGAAAAGCAAGATGGATTGGCGAATGTGGACTGAGTTGCGGTCCTTCCATTGAGGAGCCATTGGTGCCAGCGTTGGAGAAGCTACGAGCCACCTCGTGAACGGTGTTCAACGACGAATGCATAGAGAGACGTCGTCGTGTACCGTCAACCATGCACAAGACTTAATCCATCACCATCCATATAGCGTCACCCCACCACCATTGTGCGAATCGGAAATGTGTGAATGTGGATTCTGGATGCATAGATGATACATTATGTTCCTGAGGAGTAAGAACGGAACGGGCAACATCGGACAATGCAACCGTTCTTCTCCCATGGCTTCCTGTTTGACGATGCATTACCATGAATGGTCGATTACTGAAGAATCTTCTTAGAGCTCAAGCAAACGTCGCCGTTTTCATCGTCATTGTGAATTAAAGCGTCACTTGGATTTAAAAAAAGCAAAGAATTATCGCGTGGAACTTTCGCTGTTGACGATTGCTTTTTGGTAGATCCGTAATCAAGGGTATAATGCAATACCACGTTCGATACTCTTGTATTATTGTAAATTTTGAATCCCGTTTTGTTTGGAACATATATTAACCGCTGTAGCAAATTTTGGCACACGCCATGATTTTTCCAATGCGATTCTGTGCAAAACATTGATAATGGTTAAAATGGTTTTAAAAACGCAAAGGTTCGATAATGATTAAAATGGTTTTAAAAACGCAATTTCGATGAATTTATAGAATTGTATTCTTTGGGAAAAACTAATCAGGATTGTAATTACGTTTTGGTGAAAATGGCGGTTAGTAAATTTATTGGTTAATTGAGAAACATCAATGCAAGCTGTTATTCGAATTCCATACATAAGCTTTTATATATATTTTGCTGCCAAAAAAGGTTGCGATATTTTGACAAAAGTAGCAAGAAAATATTTGCGCGAAATGGTAATAGAGCGTGAATAAGTAGTACTAAACACGTGCGCACGCGTGTATATCACTGTGTTTTACGGATCTGTAATAAGTATTCCCACGTTTAGCTTGTAACGAAAAATACATTTTAGATCTTTCTTTATTAGCTAACGTAATTTTGGTCTCGAAAGAATGCACAACGTTCAAGGTTTAAGTAACATTTTACGTGATTAAAAAGTAATACGAGTTTCTCTTAGGTCAATTTGTAAAAAGTTGGTATCTTGAATCGAAATGTAGTCCAAAAAATATAAAAACAAAAAAAAAACAAAAAAAATAGTTAAAAAAAATGACTCATGTAATTATTGATACAATAGCAAGATTTATTAAATCAAAATTAGGAGCTAAATTTTCACTAAATATTGAAGGATTATATATATATTTTTTTTTTTTTAGAAAGTGTCCTCATATTAATACATTCTATTGAAATATAAATGTGATAATTAAGAGAAATTTGCAAAACAACACGCAAAAATGTTTTTTGTAGGACTGAAAGACGTATCAACCTCATACAAAATTGCTTAACTTATTCTTAATCAAGATTAATTCAGTTATGGGAGCTTTCCAAATGTATACGATATACGCGTACAGACAATTAACTCTTTATTTCATAGAAATATAGAAATTTGAAATTATATTAAGCACGATACGTCTTCATCTGCAATTGCATTTCTAAACGTTGGTGCTAAGTGCCAAGAACTACAAAAATTAGCCTAAGAAGCAGAGTCGTAAGAATTATCGACCGAAGTATATAGAAGCTAGTAAACGTGAATTAAACTTCTTTTTACGAGTTGAAAGTACACCGCATTTGTGATGAAAAAGATGTACGATTATAAATCATCGTACCTGTAGAAATTTTATTGTAAAATGCGATTTTTAAATTTGTCAAATAAGAAGTAGCTAAAGGCGCATCACCCTCTATTTACTGTTTTCCACATAATATTATGTTTCTACTCAGTTGTAGCTAAATAATGTATATGTAGTTTACACGAGAGAAATGATGAAAGAGAAGCATTTATGTTGGTGCCAATGATTTTATCAAATTTGTACCATTCATTCTCTGTTCTTTTTTTTTAACGATCACCGAAACGTTTATAACATTAGCTTTTGTAAAATGATTGTATTGCATAATTTGCGCACGATTCATTTCTGAACATATCTGTGTATTCTTTGATGGTGTAATGTTTCGTATGCGAGAACATATTCATCAAGTCCATGCTCATTTTAAATTAAACTGTAACTCGTGACCATTTTCTGAAGTATTAGCCCAGCTGTGAGCTTTAGTTTAATGCTTTAGAAAATACGTTTGGTAGCAATTTTTATTTAATCCGTAAAATTCTTATTTATGACCAGAACATTAAAATTATTATTATTATGGGTTTAATAAACGATATTCGTCAAAAGAAATTGGTGTTGTTTATAAACACGATATACACATATAGTACACAATCATGCATATGAAAAGTAAAATTTTGCACTTACAGGATTACTTAATATAGAATAATATTTAAATAAAGAGGTATACGAAGGTTTCTTGTTTATTGACAATCTTATGTACACTTTTAGCATGCTGCGTAGCATGTTCACTCAGATTAAATTACAAAGTACATGATTTCATCCATGTACTTTTTGATTTCAATATTATTCACTTGCATTTCGCGAAATACATAGTACGATAAAGACACACGACTGTAACAGGCAACATAGAAACATGATTACCAAAAAAATGAGAGAAAAAAAAAATCACGATAGAGACTGAATATTGAAATAAGTACTGACACTTCAAACTAGAAACATAAAATTGTGTTGCATCAAAACAGAATAAATTTCATTATTGAATATCAAATACTGAAAAGTTTTAATCACAAACACATTAAGTTTAATTATTGCTCTTGATTAAGACTGTTTCTACATTGACCTGTTAACGTTAAGTATATAGCCGCATCGAAAGTGGCATACTTTCGCTGCACAACCTTTTAGGGAGTACTAGCTCATAAAGTATCGTACAAAATATCTCCATTAAATAGCTCTTAATATTATTGGGTACAATTTGCAAAATTGTTTGGTAGAAAAAGACATAACTCCGACTGTGAATTGCACAAAGAGAAATACTGAATACATCGCGTAGAGGTAGGGAGAACGTTCCTCCTTAAAAGATCTGTGCGTGAAATTACTTGCTGCTTGAATCACGCTAAAATATTTTACTATTTAGTTTACATAAATGTAGCATTGATTCGCTAAGAGATCGATCAAACTCTTCTTTGAAATAATGAAGATAATCTCAGCACCATTATCCTACAAGGACAACTAATCTTGCTTGCAACGTGTGCAAGTATTGACAAGAATTACACTTTGGTGCACGACGTGGTTTATGTGCAGTAATAAATAAAGTTGCTGCATTGTAATGATAAAATATCGGTAACTTTTCCTTGTCGGTCGTTCCCTCCTGTACAAAAATTAAACAATCGCGCAAACGGATAATTTTTAAATATATGACGATGAAGAAATTTCATTAAAAAGCTAGGAAAGCTAATGTTACATATTTACTTAAAACAAAACTCTAGTAGGAACGAATCGCGGGCGGAACCGTCGCACATTCCTGTTTGTCTAGAGTATTGTCTATGACTGGTCTGAAATCGATAGATACCTGAAAAACAAATTTAATTTATTAAGTTGATAAAAAAGAAATATTGGAATTTACGTATGATTTAATACTACTTACTTCTCCTGTTCTAACATTAACTTTTGTGAGTGTGTGTTTTCGCCAATGCTGATCCAGTGGTTTTGGCTGTTGGTTTTCGATTGGTTTACTGTAATCGTATTCGTCAATTCTATCTTTAAAATCTTCACGCGCATGAGCGCCACGACTTTCTTTTCTATTTTCAGCAGCTACTATTGTTTGCACAGCGTTAATCATCAAGTTTTGTAATTCGAGAGATTCTATAAGGTCAGAATTCCATATCATAGATCTGTCCGCAACCTTAAGGTCATTCATTTTTTTGTATAAAGCTGACACCTTCTGACAACCTAACATAATTTTAAGATATAACAATTTTTATCAATGTTTAAAGTAATTTTAAAAATTAATTTTGAAAAATTAATTTTAAAACTGAAAAAGTAATTTTTCAAAAATTCTACCTTCTTGTAATGTTTCAGCCGTTCTAAACACAGCTGCATGAGTTTGCATGGTTTTTTGCAGGCTCAATCTTAAGTCCGCGGTGGGAATACTACCATTCGCATTTCTAAGCCAATCCAAATTCGCCACAGTTTCTTCTCCGGCATTCTAAATCATATTTAAATTATGGTAATCGATTTTTGTATTATACTAGTTAGTGGTTATTGTAAAAAGAAAGATACAAACAAATTTCAGGGGCCCAATAGATTGTGATGGCTTATTTTCCATTGCAATTGTTTTAGCACAAGCGCGACCAAATACAACTAAATCTAATAATGAATTTGCACCAAGTCGGTTAGCACCGTGAACAGATGCGCAAGCTGACTCTCCACAAGCGTAAAGTCCAGGAACAACTGTATCCTGGTTATTTGCCCTTGTTAGAACCTGTCCTTTATAATTTGTAGGTATTCCTCCTATATAATTCAATTTTTAATAATATGAAATTATTAAATTCGCAATACCTATAATATTTAGCAGTTAATTTTTAATGAAATTAAACGCCTACCCATATTATAATGTACCGTAGGTATAACCGGAATAGGTTCTCTCGTTACATCGACTCCAGCAAATATCATTGCCGTTTCTGAGATTCCAGGTAATCTGGCTGCTAACTGTTCAGGTGGCAAATGATGGAGTTGTAAATAAATATGATCCTTCTCGGGGCCAACACCTCTAAATTAAATTACGTGTATAAATAAACTATCATGAAGAAGATTATTTAAATATTTATTAAAAATAATATATATTTAAATATATATTCTATTAAATACTTGTGTTGCATGTGCTCAATAAGACATTTAATATTACAATAATGTGTTTGAAATCTCCAAAAAGAATTTATAGTTTCTGCATAATGAAGTATTAATTAATAATAACACAAAGCTCAATGTTTTAAATATAATTTGATATATAGATACTTTATAAACTTATATACTATTAACAAGAATAAAAAATAAATTCTTGTTATTAGTATTTCTAGACAACAAAATACTAAGAGAATTTTGAAAAAATTTTATATTTTCATTCATTGCACGATTTCATGACATCCTATACGTCTTTCGATTTATATGACTTACCTGCCTTCCCGGATTTCAATAGTCATAGACCTAGATACAACATCCCTAGAGGCTAAATCTTTTGCGACTGGAGCATAACGTTCCATAAACCTTTCACCTTCACTATTTACGAGGTAGCCTCCTTCACCGCGACTGCCTTCTGTGATGAGGCAACCAGCTCCATATATTCCTAAAATTGTAAACAATTTTATAAGTCTATAATGTTAATATTTGAGCATGGAAATCAAGTAAATATTTGCACATTATTTTATACCAGTAGGATGGAACTGCACGAATTCCAAGTCTTGATTAGGCAAATTAGCTCTAGATATCATTGCAGTGCCATCACCAGTACATGTGTGAGCAGATGTGCAAGAGAAATATGCACGTCCATATCCTCCAGTTGCTAAGACTGTGTTCTTAGCATGAAAACGATGAAGTGTACCATCTTCCAAACAAAGGGCAATCACTCCTCTACATTCTCCATCTTCCATTAGTAAATCCAGAGCAAAGTATTCAACAAAATAGTTGCAGTCATAGCTCAATGATTGACCATACAATGTATGAAGTAAAGAATGTCCAGTTCTGTCTGCTACACAGCAACATCTATGAGCTTGGCCACCTTTTCCAAATTTCAGAGATTGTCCACCAAAAGCACGTTGATATATTTTGCCTATAATAAAAATCATTATCTTAGATACAATTTTTCATTTGACTTGTATAATTCTTTATATTTATTTTATATAACATATTATATATCACATATCTTTTATTATTTTTTGTCCACATGCAAATATTGCTCTAAAATGAAAACTTTTCATGTACATGAACATATCCACATTATCAGTAGAAATGTAACAATAGTTAAGTACATAGTAACCACAAAATGTGACTTATTATTTCTAAATGACAATTATAAATTTTTATGAACATTTTTCGTAATATAACAAAATTTATTAGTGATAATAAATATTTTTTTAAAATAACATATTTATAAGTAACAATGCTGAAACTATTATAAATATCAAGAAAGCATAAACTATATATATTTTAATTATGGATGAAAATAGAAATGGAAAGCAAAATTATACTAAATCTATCGAAGAAAATTATAAAGAAGAGAAGTGCAAAAGAAATTATAAGAATAATTTTCAAAAAATAAGAGACTCTGAATCAGATTACAGAGTGAAACCAAATAAGTAAATTTTACATTTTTATTATTTATTTTTATGATTGGTTTATTGTAAATTCATTAGTTATCGTGATATAGATAATTACTGCCTATACTTATTATTTATTTAATTCAAGCATAAATTCAATACCACAACGGAAACAAAGGACCCATTCTCGTTCTCGGTCACCACATAAAAGCTCTAAACAATGGATAAGTTCTAATGCTTTTATAAATTTTATTCAGGACTTTAGTCAAGTAATTAAATACATAGAAATTATATCTGTATAATTACTAATAAACACAAAAACATATTTACAGAATTTTACTGGTGTCAAAAGTACAAAAATATTTGAAATGGCTAGTAAAATATGGGAGAAAATGTCGTCTGATGAAAAGCAGCCATATATAAAAGCAGCTATGAGTATTAAAAATAAAAAGCAAAATCAACAAAAAATTGAAAATATAAATAAACTTGATAACGGTATAGTACAACCAAGGAATGAAGAGACACAGAAACAAGAAAAGATTGGCAAGAAAGAAAAAAAAGAAAATGTTAATATACTATTTGTTTAAAACTATAACTTCTAATTTCTTATAAATGTAATATATTTATGTATATTATGTAATAAGTGAGTTTCTGGTTATAGGAAACAAAAAAGTCTACCAAGAAAAAATATGATACTGAATCAGATAGTGGTTCAATCAGCTCAGATACATCAGGCACAAATACAAATGAAGATATGAGCACATAACAATTAATTATACAAATGTAATTGTACTTATCAATGGATGTGATGATTTCTTCCATAGTGTAATTTGTTATTTGAAAAATCATATATTCTTTCACATATTACGAAAGTGTTTTTCTTTGCAAATATATAATGTATAATATATATAATATATAATGTTATTCAGTTTTTACATAAACTATAAAACAGTGTACATTATAACAGTATTACCATCTGTAGTTCGACTGAAAGGCATGCCACAATTCTCTAATTCAATGACTGCCTTTGGGGCTTCGCGTGTCATGTAATGAATAGCATCTTGGTCACCCAACCAGTCAGATCCCTTAACAGTATCATACATGTGCCATTGCCAGTTATCATCCTCCATATTACCCAAAGCAGCATTGATACCTCCTTGTGCAGCAACAGTATGTGATCTTGTAGGAAATAGTTTAGTAATAACAGCTGTCTTAAACCCTTCAGCAACTAAGCCATAAGCTGCACGTAATCCTGCTCCACCAGCACCCACAACAACAGCGTCATAGGTATGATCTATCAATGGATATTGCTTAGAAATGCCATCTGAAACTTTTGCAGCTTTGCTATTTGGTGTATAATGCAATTTGCGATTTGCGATAACAGGTAATCCCAATTTATTCTGAAATAATATAAATATATGAAAGTTGGTTAGAACTAATAAAGATATATATATACTAATTACAAAATCATGGTTGCATCTTATCTCTATACAGTCTGAACTAGCATGTATGAGTGTATGCATGTTCTTATATACATGGCTATATATATATATATATATATATATACACATAGTATAACCACATTGCATTAATACTCTATTTATAAAACACAAAACCGTTTTAGAAACTGAATTGAAAAAAGCAACATGACACTATTTAAATCATTATAAAACACGAGTCGATTTAATAAATAATTCGGCCGTAGTTCGATATTAACACTTATTTCTCTCGTGATATATTCATTTTCACTGACATTGCAACACCAGCAATCTGTGAACGAACATTTAATCTTGAATAACACTTTTCGCAATAAAATCACATCCCGACAATTTTTAAATATGTTTGTTGTATGTATTATGTATGTATTTAATATGTACATAAAAATAATATTTTTTGTAATAACTAACGTTATTATAATTTTTTAAACTTGTTTTAATAATAATGATTTATTTTACTAAGGATAAAAATATAATAATGATATATAAAATATAAAATTATGTAATTAATAAAGACTCGTGATTTACGATGTCACAAACAAGGTTAATGCGTTTCGAACAATTTTATTGTAATATAATGAAAAAATGTACTAATAGGCCATTATTTATTAAACTAGTCACATAAATAATTAAAAGCTGATTACATGGCAAGAAGTAATAACTCATATGATAGAAAATAACGATTTCACAATAAAACCATAATACTAGTACCTATGAATATCATTCACCATATGGAGGCTAAGGGGAATGATACGTGGTTCGTGACAAACTATTTATTCTACATTACATTTAAATTTCAATCTTCTATATTCAACTGATATATTAAACAAAACTTTACAGTGTTACAAAATTTATTTAAAATCTAGTGAGTTTCATGAGATATCACTAAATACGAAATAAATGAACGAGATTAAAACTTAGTTATTATCTAAAATAATTCTATTGTATTTTCATTTGCGTTGAATATAGAATGATGAATAAGGCGGAAAAACCTCAAGACGATAAAGTCAATAACTTTATAATAGATGAAATCATAATTTAAAGAGTGTAATTTCGCGCTAATGTCAGCTTCCCGTGCCGGTAACTCATCCGCAATTATAATTAAACTTCTAAAACGTGATACGGCAGTCGGTCTCATTGTCGCGTATTTGGGCTCGATATCGAGGTAGAAAAGGCGCAAATAATTGTTTGTTTAGCATAGATAACGGAAATTAGAATCACCGTTACCTACTTTGCAGTGAAAAATCATGAATATTGTGCAGGCCGGCTAGTTACGGGGTGGCGCGTATGAAATGAGGGAAGTGCGGCAAAAAAAGATATTCGATGTTAGAATCGTCTGCTAAACATTCTCCTATGTACTTCGATATCATTCAAACTGTTATCAATTCAATTATTGTATTTGCAGTACCAATTTATTCGTCCTTTTTAGATAGTTATAAAAGACTATGAGATGCTGATAATGAAGAGAATTTTACGGGAGGATCGGTACAGGTATACGCTAATACGTGTTAGTAAACTTACGTAATTGATCAATGCCGAGTATTATACAGTAAAGGTGGATCATTGTTAGATTAAAAATTATGTAACTTAACGAAAACCAACCTACCAACGTCGTCGTGGGAGGATTCTTTGCCAGTAAAGACGACAGCTTCAATAGACCACTCATCTTGATGTAATGTCACTTGTCTAAGTGAAAATTTTGTTTTTAACAGTGACACGCGCACCTTTTTGTTGAATGCGCGATTCGGCTACACCGTGTAACTAACCCCAATTTTTGTTAACTTCACTCCCGCACTTCTTGCACGGCGACGTGAAGCGTTCAAGTCGGTTGAGTACCGACTACTGGCGGAAGCTCCCTGATGAATACCAGTGCTGCCAATCGTATCGTCATGAGATAACCTCACCTTTGAGGTATTCACTAATTTTTGATTTCGTTCTCATTGTTGATCGTTTGTATGCTTCGATTGTCTTTAGCACCGATAATGTATAAATGCTTTAATATTAATTCCTTGTTTTTCGAGATTTCGAAGTTAACGTCACGAACAGTAGTTAACTGTGGGCGGGAAAATCAAACGATACCGCGAAAGAAATCAAGTGGTTCTCATTTCACTTTATGTATGATGGGGTGTTAACGGTATTTCGAATTATGTAGCTGTACAATTGCGTGGGTTCTAAAGGGAAAGTACTCGTTATAACCTATGCGATGTACATCATACTCTTACTTGTACTCTAAACGACGAATATTAATCTGAAGAACTTAAATATCTAAAATTTAAATAATAAATTTTTATATGCATCGATATAATTTAAAAATGATAATAAAAGCTGAAAAGCTTTGTCACTGAAAACGTAGATCTATTTACAGTTATATAGCCTTTATCCTCCAAAATTTAAATTTGATAATTTATCATTTGATAGAACATCGGTTGTACGCGAATCGGATTTTAAATGTATACGGTACGGTATTTCAGAAAAGTTCAGAGTCCGCGATTGTTTGTGTTTTGAATTCCACAGTCATTGATTTCGCAAAAATTCTCACATTTTACGAGGTTGTTAACACAGCTACTAACGGTGCTCCTGCTTTACCGAGCTTTATTTCCTGCAGCACGGGGAGAAAGAAAAAAAAAATGAGAAAGATTTGTCGTGCTCCGGGGTTGGCGGCACGACGCATGTTTCGTTTCCCTATTGGTTGATTCTTCGTAGGCTCGTCTCTATATACATAGGTAAATCTTATACTATATGGTGGGGTATCACATAGACAGGCTGTTCAACCAGATGTTACTAATACAACTGCGATTCATGTATTGAGCGGTGTAGGAGTAGTTTATGAAACAGGTAACTTGCACTCACACGTCCATAACTAGTAGAAGTATTCTCATATTCCAAAGTGTAGGTAATACAGATGCTTAACTATTCCGTGTGATTTGTTTCTTTTTCATTGATCTTTGGCGCTTGTTTTTCTGTTTATGAAAACGGTGTCAATTTTTATATAAATATTTGAATTGTAATTTGCAACGCATTAGCACTTAATCGATGTTTGAAATTCTTATTTTACATATCCTTACATATTCGATTAAAGTCAATTATTCGATTAATCTTCCAATTAACCAAAAAAGGAGTAGAATTACTCTAATTGTTTAGAAAAATACATGAAAGGAATGAAATAGATGGCAAATTCTGCAATGAGGAAATTATTATAAAGGCAAGAAAATTATATAATTATAAAATTGTGTAATAAAAAACTAACAATTTCTTTTTAGGTTATTATATTTGAAATTATTACATCTTATATTCAATACAATCAAATGATGAAATTATTTTATATATATTTTTAATTAAGCCTTTGCATACAGCTAAACCATGTTCTTCGAGGCTTTTATTCACTTATATTACTATTTTTGAAATTTTGTTGAACTTTTATCTTAAATTTACTTATAAAACGTACATTTTCCTAGTTTCCAAATATCTTATACTCTTTGTATTTTTCGTTCGCGTTATTTCTTAATCTTACAATAATTCTTCCGAAATAAATGCAATCTCAACGCGCAAAAATTTGAATTTACGAAATCTCGCGTGAAATAATTATCGAAATAATTGAACAAATTTCATATTTCATTTCACTGTTTCGCATTTATTTTTAATCGGCGTTCTCTTATAATTTATTTCCTCACTCGTTTTCTCTTATTTTTTTGTACAGCAGAAATGAGCCAAACTAATCAAGTAAAGAGTATCAAGGTTTTGTGGTCTCGCGGTCACCTGCATCGAACAAAAATTAACGTAAGGTCATCACATATAGCATTCCGTTTCGCAATATTCAAGGAAAGATACGTGTATCACTCTCGGAATATTTCTCCAAACTGTAGAAATTTCGTAAATTCCTCCCGATGATAATCAGATCGGAAAATATTTTCGAAAAACTAGAGAGACACATTCCTTTCTCGAATATGAAATTGCACGAGGAAAAACAGGTAACCACGAAAATATGACATTTTCTAACGTCAAGATTATTTAACAATTATTTCAGACGAGTCACTGACGGAACACGAGGCGTCGGATGTATTACGCAACACCTATCATCGTTTCAATTAGCCATCGGTGACTATCTCACGAGTGCAGACGTAAAATTTACAAAGCGTTTTACTTTCTCCTCGCCGGGGAGCAATTCAGGAGCAGCAGATGCTAATTTTTAATCGCGTTACAATGTTGGAAAGTGGTCGTAATCGGTGTGAAAAAGATGGCTTTCACTCCGGAGGATGCGATTCCGGTCGTTAAGCGATGCGTTCCGTCGATGGAGTATGCAAATAAGGTGGCAGGCAGGTCTGCGCCTCCGGTTGGAATTAATTAATTGCCATAGCACCGTTCGAACCAGTAAATAAACGACATATAGAGCAGAGGCGAAACCTATATGTGTACGTTGCTCTTGTAATTCCAAGATAACGAACGTGGCTCGTGTCAGCGTTATCGGCCATGTTAATACGAAGAATGTTGGTTATCGATGGTGTGTCAAAAAGATTGAAAAGAACGGAAAGGAAAAGTTCTGGATCGTCTTATAACATATGGTCTTATAATAATATCGTCGTATTAATATACTCGAACTGTTGGAGGAACGTGTTGGGCCTCTGCTTCGTCCAGTGTTGTGTCGATGACAGGACGATAAGAAATACTGATCTGCAAAAGCAGTGCAAATGTTTTTCACGTCTTCAATGATTAAGAAAAATTATTTAATTGCAACATTGTACAATCTCGCGAATCTCAACGTAATCGATAGAGTGTGCGTTCTTGAGAGACAACTAGGAAGAGGAATACGCGTTAGATCTTAATTCCTTTATTTTTCTTCATTTCTAATTTTGTATTGCAAAATGGATAGAATTTTGTCTAATAATGATAATTCGATTCTTTGCTTTTTCGTTTATTTGGTGGAAGTTCAGTTGGTTTGTTTTTTATTTATTATTGAATAGATATTATTAAATAAATATTAGTATATTATTGGTATGATTCTATGTACTAGGTGGGATATAGAAATAATATTAAATAAGAGATTTGGAATTATCGTTACATTTTCGTCGTAAATCTAGAGCATGAGATAGAATAGAAATTGTTATATAAATGGATATTTTTATAAAGAGTGATATCTAGTATATATATATACCTAGTGTACCTAATGGTACCTAGCATTTTACCATTTTGTAGAATAAATAGTCTTCTTTTGCTCATAATTTAACATATCGTGTGAGTGATAACTTCTGTTTGAGTAGTTATCTCACAGCATTATTCATCAGTGCGGTTATTTTTCATTTTAGGGCTTAATTTAATGCAGAAGTCTGTTTCAGTCACTTAATGAGTTGTCATATTTGTATAACGATGTTCTCGAAATTATGTTAACTAATATATGCTAATTTCTCGAAGAGATAAATTTTTGTGCTAAAATAATTAAAAATGTTATATAGCTATAGCTTCTTAGATTTAAAATAAGACAGTTTTAATTAAGGAATAATTTCCAGTTACCTATACTTGCAATTGATTTCAGGATTAATAGATATTCTAATTTAAATTAATTTATTAAATTTTTATCTTTAACATGTTTCAAGTTTTTGGTATATTTAATATAAATTAATTCGAATTAATGGTGTTAATGAAATTATTGGAAAAATATGCAAAATAGATGCAAAACTATTCAAATGTTACAAGAATTATTATATATATTATTATAGTTAATATTATAGTTAAACAGTGCACTCTATATTCATACAAATAAGTGTTTTACACATCTAATATCTTTTATTATCTTTTCGAATACTATCACACGTTTAGTAACCACTCAGAAATTATATCTCAACCAGAATTTGGTGTCAATAACATTTTGTTATTATTAAAAAATTCTATTTAAACATTCATTTCTTTTTTAAATACATAATTCCTTATCTATATTCATTTTTATTCAATTCCTTATAGTAAAAAGAAACTACTATTCAAATATATTTTATCTCCAGAATACAGGACTTTATCTCAAGAATACAAGTCTTCCAGTTCTCATGACACACAATTGTACTGCGTTTAATACACAGGGATCATCTTTTTCTTTATTTTAGTAAGTTTTTTATCTTTATTTTATTTCATTTTTATCTTTATTTTATTTTCTCTTAATTTTCATTTCAGGGATCATCGACATAGATTCACGACATAGGACAATATCACATTGGATAAAACATCCGAATTTTTGTTTAGTTTTCATAAATAAGGAAATGTAATTTTTATTTCTTCTAATTCGGAGATAGGATTTTAAACATTATCAACGTTTAGATAGCGTTCGCTTTCTGCGTCAGTATTAGCGACAGTCAGAGACTCAGAAATTGAGTGCCTGGTACCATTCGGTTTCACTGATAAGCAAAAGAAATGATTGTAATGCCACGAAATACGCTGGACTGAAACGTATCCACGTATCTTATTATAGCACAAAGTACAGTGGAATTTAGTGGAATTTATATATATATAGATTGAATATTACTATGAATTTTTTAATTTCGTTGAAACGTAGGTACACTTTTATTTTGCACTTCCCAATCCAGACCTATGTTTATATTTCTATAACAATTGTTTATTGCTATTGTTTCTCTAGATTTAGCTTCTTAAATATTGAAACACAATTGTTTCATTTTACTCTCTAATTATAACAAGAAACCACTATACTGAACTTCCACATTACGTTTTGTAAAAATCCATAAACTGCTTATGCTAAATAAGATAGCCTAATAATGAATTATATCGTATTATTAAATACCATAAGACCCTCCAAAAAATAATCATCAGTTTGGTTATCGATAATTAAAAAATAATATAGAGTAAAAAGAATTATAATTAAGTATAAAAGTGGAAAAAATTGAAAGCAAAACATTCTTTAAAAAAGAAAAAAAAATCGATTGTATAATTGAAATGTACGTTGACGTGTACACGAGGTTGAACAGAACGATAAATTCAAAATGGGCAATTGCGATAACTCACCGTGCCATCTGCTCGAGCCCACGTGAGGGTATGTTTACGCCAGTGTTCGCTGTATGGTCGTTTCTTCTGATTTTCGATAGGCTTCGAGTAATCATACTCGTCGATTCGTTCCTGCGAGCATAATAATCCAAGCATAAAATGGTTCAATTTCGCCGAAAATGTTAATAGATCTTATAAAAGCTGTGAAAATTGCATATACTTTGTAATCATCCCGGGCATGTGATCCCCGAGACTCTTTCCTGTTCTCTGCCGCATAAACGATATGCATGCAAACTAGCATCATGTTTTGTAACTCTATCGCTTCTAATAGCTCTGTGTTCCAGATTAGAGACTGGTCCTGAACCTAGGGTAATTTCACAAAGATTTAAAAGGTTTCAAGTTGGTTAAAATGATTAAGAACGTATTTAACGTCTAGAGTAATTTTCGAGGTTAGGAAAAGTATTGGGCAGAAATGATAAGCTTGGTAATGTGGAATATTTGAAGTAATTAGAAATTATTTGCGAAATAATCGAGTGTTTTAGTGAGTTGTAGAATTCAAATTAATTGATTTTTAAATAAATGACACTCGCGTTGAAACGGATATGTTTGGTGATGGTTTTTACATAACGTTTTATACACGCCACTTGCGTCATGAATATCTTATGTCGATGGTCTTGTTATGTATAATTTATATAGTTGCTATGCTTATGCTATATAATGTCACATGATTACCTCATTGTAATTACTTTGCTTATCAGTATCACATAACAATTAAAAAATGAAACAAAAGTACAATTTTGTTGTTCTATAAAATTGACTACATATTTCTAGTTATTTCTCGTTTGCAAATTTGTTAGTTAATAAAGTATTTTTTGTACGGTATGGTAATGACACATTTTCTTATAACGTTATTAAAATGTTTACATCATCATTAAAAATAGCAAGATATAACGTTTTAAAAATACAGAAGATACCTATATACATATTAATATATATTAATTAAATACCCTATACAACTTTCTGAATTATCCAAAAATATAAATACAAAATAAAACAATACTAACAGAAAATATTAATAAAAATAATTACGCAAGGTATATACGCGGTGTCCCAAAAGTAAAAGTTGCATCTGTAGTTGCACCTTTAAAATGCATTGACGCATTTAAAAATGTATAAAGTTAATTTCATCTCAAATATACTTCGTTCGACGTTACTTTATATTTCTTCCCATTTTCCTCATTCGCTACAATAATAGAGCCTGCACCAGTTACGCGGGACACCCTCGTGAAACAACCGCTAATGCGTGTGGCATACTAATTAACAATTATATAATCATCGTGATAGAAAGAAAAATTGAACGCCGAGGGGCTCAAGACGCTATGTATAGCTCGATCTTACGTAAGTGGAACATTTCGATCAATTCACCTACACATATATCCGGCAAATCACAGGTATACAGTCGCGTCATTTCACGACATCCACGCTGCAGTATATGACAGGTTCTAAACACCGAACAATATCTGTGCATAGTCTGATGCATGTCTTCTCGTAGCTCAGCGACGGGAATGCAACCTTTTGCATAACGAGTCGCGTCGAAACGGCAAATGGTCTCCTCGCCAACAGTCTGCACGCAAACACAAATGGATCAGTATAGTTATCAATGGGAATATAACAATAGGTTATTAATAATAGGCTATATTTTACGATCCATTCTACATCTCGAAACGTCGATTCAAGGTTTATTACCGAATAGAAACGTTCATACAGAGATTAATAGCAGGCTATGAATGAAACTTAACTGAACCAACGCGATTATTTTTTTCCTTTAATATGCAAATTTTACTTCAAATTTGCGTTCGTTTAAATTTCAATATCGAAATAAATCTTTGACTTTTAAGCTGTCGGACTTAAATTTTTACTAATGACACTGGAATATTAATTCTGAAAGTTTTATTTGCAAGGAATCTTTTTTTATTTTTTACAACTTATTATTTTTATATTAATAAATTTTGGGTTTATTAATTTTTTCGAAAAATTTGGTCACTGAATATACGACACATAATTTATTAATTATTATAGTAATTACTTATATGCATTATATGTTAGATATATACATCTATCATATGTACAGAGAAAAATGTATATAACCATACCATCTTTTGCATATGGTATCTCTATTTATTTCACCAACAGTGTTGAATAATCGATTATAAATTTTCTTTATTACTCTGTCATTGAAGTTTATTATACCATAAATATGATTCAGCTCGAAGTTATGTCTACTGCGTGTAGATACGAATTTTTTTAAAAAAAGAGTTGCGAATGGGCATTGAATTTGATTACTCCACGAGTTTTCGAGATGTAGGTCATCAACGGGATAACATTGCAAGAAAAAGAAAAGGAGAAAAAATGATAAAATTCTATTTCAATAATTCCCGTAAGTCAAGTTTATCGCCCATTGCTTTGATGTCGTTACTTTCAATTGCAGTGCTTAATGTTCGCAACGAGATATACTGCATTTGCAGTAATTTTTCTTTTTTAAACCAATAGATGTTAAAACATCTGAACACACATAACAACTTATTATCAATTTTTATATAATAAGTTATTATAAATTATATTATAAAATTATTATACATTTTT